CGTGGCACTTTCTGGACACCGTAGGGGGTGCGTAGGGGGTGGTCTCTCAGCGCGGCCGCTATCCACGACAGTGTCGCAAAGCCCAGCAGGCGTGGCACTTTCTGGACACCATGGTGGGGGTGCGCAGGGGGTGGTTTCTCAGGCGCGGCCGCTATCCACGACGCTGTCGCAAAGCCCAGCAGGCGTGGCTCTTTCTGGACACCATTGGGGGGTGCGAAGGGGGTGGTCTCTCAGCGCGGCCGCTGTCCACGACGCTGTCGCAAAGCCTAGCAGGCGTGGCACTTTCTGGACACCACAGGGGGATGCGCAGGGGGTGGTCTCTCAGGCGCCGCCGCTGTCCACGACACTGTCGCAAAGCCTAGCAGGAGAGGCACTTTCTCGAAACCATAGGGGGTGCGCAGGGGGTGGTCTCTCAGCGCGGCCGCTATCCACGACGCTGTCGTAAAGTCTAGCAGGCGTTGCAGTTTCACGACACCATATGGGGTGCGCAAGGGGGTGGTCTCTCAGGCGCAACCGCTGTCCACGACAATGTCGCAAAGCCTGGCAGGCGTGGCACTTTCTGGAGACCATAAGGGGGTGCGCAGGGGGTGGTGTCTCAGCGCGGCCGCTATCCACGACACTGTCGCAAAGCCTAGCAGGCGTGGCACCTTTTCGACACCATTGGGGTTGCGCAGGGAACGGCCACCAACATCATTCTCACATGCTTCACTTCAACAATCATCACTCCAGCTATAATTTAAGTATGTGGGGCTCCTCGGTAGCGTAATTATGTGTATGCCATGCTTCGTCGCCTCCTTTCGCCCAGTTCGGCTCTCCGTCCGTCTCCTCCTCCTCGGGCTCACGTGTGCGTCTCCTTCGGATGCGCACCTCTCGGCGTACACATCGGGACGGGTAGCCCTAGACGGGAGGAGGAAGCGCGGCACGGGACGGCGTTCGGGGATCTACGGACCCCCACCAATCCAGACCCGGGCCGGTCGGGCTTTGCAGGATCCTGCACGCAAGCCCGGAGCAGTGCACCCCTGGCTCTGCAGGATCCGGCACGATCAGGCGCTCTGGCTGACGACCGCCGTTTGCAGCGACCCCCGTCTCAAGGCTTCCGATTCCCTGCTTCACTCCTCGCCGAACGCCGGGACGGGAAGCCAGGGCGGCAAGGAAGTGCAACGTCGGAGGCGCCGATACAGGTCAATCGCCGTGCCAAGGACGCCGATTGCCCATGTCTTCGGCGAGGCTCAGGGAGGGATACGTGTAATGCCCGCCCATGGGCTATTCGCAGGGTATCCGCATTCAACCCTGCGATGTCACCTGCGCAGGTCAGCGCAGGTCTGGATATCGTTTAACCGATCCTCATCCCCAGCGGCGTGGCCTGGGCCCCACTGGCCGATTTACCCCCCTAGATGGGGATATAGGTCGTTGCCTTCGGGTTTCGAGGGGTCTTTCCCCAACTGGGGTGGTGTGGGCGTCTCGAAGGGGATGGGGATGGGGATGGGGATCGGTCAAACGATAGCGAAGGTCAGCGCAGGTCACGAAGACCAGCGTATGTTAGCGCAGGTCACGCGTCCCCCCTGGACGCGTGGGTCAGCGAAGGTCAGCGCAGGGTAGCCCGGGTCAGCGCAGGGCAGCGCATGTCAGCGCGGGTCAGCGCTGGTCAGCGCAGGTCCGCCCGCGGGTCAGCCTGCGCTCTTTCCCCGTCCAAGCCCGCGCTAACATGCGCTGACCTGCCATGACCTGCGCCGTGGTTTCCCATTGGGGCCATCTGATCTGACCTGCCGTCCTGCGCTGACTGACCTCGCGGTCTTGTGGAAGGCCTGTGAATGGTTTGCTCGTCAGCCGCGGCAGTAAAGCTCCAGGAGGACCGCCAGTTCCAAGCTCTTTTTCCACCTGGGGGCCCCTACCACCGCCTGTACCATGAGCCCTTATGGAACAGGCCTCCTTCTACAAAGGCTTTCGCTCCACAAACCCAATGACAAGGGTTCCACAAACCACGGTAAGGGGGTCCCGGGGTTTCATGAATCTCCAGGAGGTTTGACACACCCCAGGGGGACTTCCACAGACCGCTGGGAGGAGTTTCACACACTTCGCGCGAAGTTCCACACAATCTGTGGCGTTTCCCTTGGCCGCCCGGGCTCCGAGACGCTCCATATGGCCTCTAAGACGGACGTGCCGAAGAGTGCCTCTGAAACGATCCCAAGACGCCGCCAAGACAACCAAAACGGCACCAAGAGAGCCCAAGATGGCCCCGGGATGCTTCCGAGCCGCCGAAGAAAGATCGACCCAAGACGGCCCAAGATATCACAGAGGCTCAAAAGGCTTCTGCGACGTTCAACGATGCCCAGGCGAATAAAGGTGATCAAGGAAGCGAAGGAGCAAGGAGGGAGGCAGCCGACATCTTTCGAAGGAGGAAGAGGAGGATGGAGCAAGATATTGAGGACGGGGGGAGGAGAAGGAAAACGATGATGAGTAGGAGGAGGAGGAGGTGGAGGAGGAGCAATCCGGATGAGGAGGAAGAGGATCGCGAATAAAAGGGCCAAAGGTCTCCTGGATGCCTCTCGGAGTTTCCTGGGACGCCTCTCGTGGGCTTCTTGGAGGCCGCTTCGGGCGTCCTGGGGGCCTCTTGGCAGTCGCGGGGGCTGCCTGGGGGCCTCTTGGGGGCCTCCCGGGGCACCTTGGGCGTGTCTTGCGGCCACCTTGGGGTTTTCCCTGGGGGCCTTGCATGCCCTCCAGGTGCCATCCCGGGGCCTGCCTGCCGGCGCCTCTTGGCGCTCTCTTGGGCGCTCTTGGGCTCTTTTGGGTCCGTCCTGCAGCCGTCGTGGGCCCCCTCTTGGGGCCCTCCTGGGCCATATACCTCAGAAGCCCATCGGAAGCGAAAAGGCGAGGAGGCTAACAACATGCATGTTCAGGAGGTGGAGGAGGATGGCTTCTTCGAGGCATCGGGGGGGGACCACGACCACGTCATGGGCCTCTTGAAACATGCTGGACGTCATCCAGAGCGATCTTGCACTATCTTGAACTCTCTTGGAGGTCATCTTGTGCTCTCTGAAGCTCTCTCGGGGCGATCTCGGGCCATCCTGGAAGCTCCAAAGACCCGCGGCCACCCCCTCCCTAGGCCCTGGGGGATGGGACAGACGGAGGGGTGCTCCCCCCCAGGCAAAAAGGAGCAGGAAGAGGACATTATCTGGACCACTTCCGTCCGAAGGGGCTGGTGCGATTTCGCGTGCCGAGCTCACCGACGTCATAAACGCCGCTTCGCGGGATACACGGCCCGACAATCGTCCGTCCACAGATCTTTCGGAGTGCCTCGATTGTTTCTCGGGGGCTGACGCATCCTTTCTGGAATGGCTTTGGGCTTCTCGGTGTTCTTAAATGCCGTCTTGGGGCAAGATTCGACACTGCTTCGGTCGTTGAAAGCTCTCTGTCAACCGAGCGGGGCGGATGACGGAAAGCGCGCACAGCGTGCCAGAGGGTTGGCTGGCCGGTGCGCAAGGCTGGCCGGAGTCCCCGGGAGGCCCGCAAGAGGGTCCCCAGACGGCCTACCAGGCCCCCAACAAGAGTGCCCAAGAGCGTACGACTGAGGGAGGAGGAGGGAGGCGGAGGAGGCGGAGGAGGAGGAGGAGGAGGAGGCGGAGGAGGCGGAGGAGGAGGAGTAGGAGGAGGAGGAGGAGAGGCCCCCAACCAGGCCCAAAAGGTCCCGGCTTACGCTGCACCGCCGACCCCGTTTTGGGGCTTTGGCTCTCAGCGCGAGTCTCCAAGGGAATATGTGGCAGCTTCTGAAAACAGTTGGGAGGCTCATTTGGGGGCCTCTTTGGGGCATCCTGTTGCCTCTTGAGGACCTCTTGGGCGCTTCTTGGTGCTTCGTGGGGGCGTGTTGGGCTCTCTCTGCTCTTGGGACGTCTGGCGGGGGACCTTTCCAGTGCCGTCTTGAGGGTCTCTTTGGTTTACTTGGGGCCATCTTGGGTCGTCTTGGGGCCCTCTTGGAGGCTCCTTTGGCTGTCTTAAGGGCCCTCCTGCGGCCTCTTGGGCCGCTTGGGGGCGCTGTGTGGGGCCTCTTGGGCCGTCTTGGACGCTGCGAGTACCAATGTGGCGAACATGCCAACTGAGCGATACGTTTTCCCATGGGGCTGGGGCGACTTCTGCTCTTTGGAGCCTCCCGTTCCTGGGCGCGCTACTGGGCCTCGAGAACCTGAAGCGTCACGTGGAGCCTCTCCCTTGTGCCCTCTCTTTCGGCGGTGGACAAACCTCCCTGTAGTAAACCTCCCATTAGTGACAAAGGCATGGGACCGAAACCGACGGACCTGGACCCGCAAAAACGACGGCCGCGACGCCTCTCGCGAACCGAAAACGGCCAATTCCTTAATCGACGTGTCAGGGTAGGAGGTCTGTCCACCCCCGACTCTTGGAGCGGGGGCGTCCTGGGGCGCTCCTTGGGCCGTGGGCCCCGCCGCCGCTCGACCTGCTCGGAGAACCCCCGCCCTGCCCCCGGGGGACCCCTGCTCGGGGGGGGCACCTCCCCACCCGACACCCGGCTCGGCCTTCCCGCCCTGCCCTGGGGGGACCTCCGGCTCCCTGGGGGCACCCCCGCCCGGCCGACCTCCTGCCCGAGTCCGCACCGCCATCGACCTGGTCCGACGCCCCCAGCCCGCCGCCCCTGGACCTTGGCTCCAGGGACCCCCCAGTCCCCATGCGAGCATGTCCCGCGCGGAGTCGCCTCGCCGCCGACCCGGTCCGACACCCGCCCCGCTCTGCCGCCGTCGACCTGAGCCCCTACCCTGGGGCCTCTGCTCTTGGACCCCCTGCCTAGCAGTTTCCCGCCCAAAGTTGCCCCGCCGTCGACCTGGACCAACACTCCCACCCTGCCCTGTGACCTTCGGTTCTTGGGACCCGCCACCCGACCATTCCCCGCCCGAAACCGACACGCCGTCGACCTCGTCCGAAACCTCCACCCTGCTGCAGGACCTCTGCTCTTGGGACCCCCAGTGCTCACGGGCGGGACGCGGGGACGGCGCCCCCTCGTCTCCGCCAGCGCCGGGGGGCAGCCCCTGCCGCGGCCCGTCGGTGTGCGGACCACCTGGCGCAGCACCAGGGCGCGGGTCGGCGCCCGAGGAGCCCCGCCGCCGCCGTCGCCGCACGCCGCCGCACGCCCTCTGCCGCCGCCATCGCCGCCGCCGCCGCCGCCCAGCCTCGGGCGCGGCCGCGGAGGGCTCGTCGACGCTGCCGCCGCCGCGCCGCCGCCGCCGCCATGGCTAACGTCGCCGCCGCCGTGGCAGCCGCCGCCGCAGACACCCCAGGATGACGACGACGACGACGACGACGAGTTTCCAGTCTCGTTCGGCTCCACGCAGGAACGGCCCTGGGCAGGAGGTGCCCTCGTGCACGGCTTCTTCAGGGGGCCGCGGGGGGGGGTCATGTCCAAGCGCGCAAGCCCGTGCAGGGGAGATCCCTGTGAGCCTGCACCACAGGTCATTCGGGCGGCGGGCCGATCGTCCGCGTGCCTGGCCTTCGTCTCGAGGCGTCCGGCGTCTGGGCCCCCTCGGTCCTCCCGAGGAGCCCCCTAGTTCTAGGAGTGCTGCCCCTCGCGCGCGCGAGTGCCTCCCGTCGGCCACCTCTCAACCCCTGCCCTCTGGGCTTCCCCGGCAGATCGCTCCTGGAGGGGCCAGCCAACGCCTAAGAGGGTGGACGCAAGAGGGATGAGACATGACGAGGGAGGAGATGGAGGAGAGGGAGGCGGAGGAAAACGGGAAGACAGAGGAAGGCAAGAGGAGAGAGGGTAGAGGACGGAATGGGGGTGATGGAGAGGAGGAGGAGGAGGAGGAGGAGGAGGAGGAGGAGGAGGAGGAGGAGGAGGAGGAGGACTACATGAAAGGCTGACACGCCACTGACCGACCGAAATACCCGAATAGCCTCAAGGCACATCAACTGCCAAGGATCATGTGTTCCAAGTCGGACACGAGCCGGCTAAAACTCAGAGGGTCTGGCTGCATGGCATGAGCCGAGGAGTATGATGAGGAGGAGGAAAAAAGGAGGAAGAGAAGGAGGAGGAGAAGGAGAAAGAGGAGAAGGAGGATCAGGACCCAAAACCTCGACGTCTTTGCTCCCGGCGCCGGTCCCCCTGGGCACCACGAGGGGACGACGAAAAGCAGCAGCAAAAGCACGCTGCGACAGGGGCGGATCAGCAAGAGGTCCCCTCAATGACAGCTGAGAGAGAGAGAGAGAGAGCGAGAGAGAGTGCATAGAGAGAGAGAGAGAGAGGGAGAGAACAAGAGAGACAGAGAACGCGCAGAGAGAGAGAGAGACAGAGTGCAGATATATATATATATATAGAGAGAGAGAGAGAAACAAAAAAAGAGAGAGATAGAGAGAGAGAGAGAGAATAAACAAGAAAACTGAGAGAAGGGGGCCCGCCCTGCAGGTTCGGTGCACAGCCCATCCTCGAGCGGGGCTGCGGCACCGCCCCCTTCAGAGCTGAGTCCCCAGGCCCCCTCCCGGAGCAGCAGCACACGGGCCGGCTCGTGGGCGCCCGTGCCCGAGGAGGAGGCCTCTGCTGCCCGAGAAGGATTGAGTCGGGCGCGTCCCCCCACAGGGAGATTTTGGGGGGAACAACCAAACATATTCAGAGAATGCCCCCCAAATGGGCCAGAATAGTAAAAACCCTGACAATTTTCTGACTATTTTCGATGTGTTGGCTAATCCTTGACTGTCTTTGACTATGTTTATTATTTGTTGACCATGTTTAAACTATTGCTGAACTTTCCCCCCGTAGAGGGACACGCCCGACTTAAGAGAAGGAGTGAGCCCAGGTGCGCGGCGTCCGGGGGGGGGGGGGGGGAAGTGGCGAGGCCCGTGTGCACAAGCCGCTGCGGTCGCAGCGCGAGGCGAGCTCGGTGGCCAGCCCTCGCGGGACGCTGCTCCGGCGGAGGGCCACTCCCTGCCCGCAGCCGTGGGGGAGGGCGACGACGCCTGGCGCTGCCGCTGCTGCTGGCCCTGGCCGTGGAACGAGTCGCACTCGTCCCAGGCCGTCCAGTCGGACACCTGTCTGCGCGGGCGCAGCGCCGGGGGGAGGCTGGCCCTGCGAGGCCGCAGCGGTGACGCAATGAGGGGAGGAGGGGAGGGCCCGTGTTCCTTCTCCCCCTCGCGGTCGCACGCGGTCCGAACGGAACTGGGACGGGCCCGCACGGCGAACGAACAGCATGGGGAGGTTCGATCCCAGGCCTCAGCAGAGTGGGACACAGAGCCTCCACAAGTTACACTCGCCGTCCTGGCGCCTCTGGATCGAACAGCGAATGCCCTCGTCGGGGGGGCCAAAGAGGGGGGCGTCAAAGAGGAGGCGGTGCACATCATGACCGGCGGCACGTGCGCGGCCCAAGGGGGGGGCTGGGGACGTAATGACATAAGAAGATGCGCCATGAAATCTGAGGAATGATCATGGCCCCCGCCATGACATCCACCCCCCCTAGTCATCACCCCCCTCTTTGCCGCCCCCGACCAGAGGCCCCTCTCCCGACAGCCCAGACCGGGCTCGCCGAGCCCTCCGATCGCCCTCGAGGCATCTCGCCGGCGAGGAGCGGCGCGCACTGCAGGCCTGCCCCCTCTCAATCCTGGGCCGACCTCTCGCTCCCTCGTCCTCCCTCCCTCGTTCTCGCAACCCCCTTCCCGTTCGTTCCCCAGGGGCTCCCAACTTCGCGCTTCGCGCTGCGCGAAGCGCGAAGTGCGAATGACTTCGCGCTCTCGCGCCGCCTCCCAGGGGAGAAGAGGAGGATGAGGAGGAATCGGAGCCGAACCGCGAAGCGCGAATACCTTCGCGCCTTGGGGGCGCCGTTGGTTCCTTCACGGTTTGCCCGCCGCCATGGTGGCGTCAAAAGGTCCCCGCCTCCAGGGACATCGACACCGCGGATCCTGGCAGATTGACCCCCACTGGCTCGGGATATCCGCCCACCTGTTGAGCTCCCGCGCGAGACATCCTAGATCAGCCGAAAGCTCATCCCGAGAAAATCCTGGTAGATCCGCCTATGGGATCCTGGATCTCCACGTGCGTGTTCCAAGTGGGATCGTCTGACTGGGGGGATGTTGTGTGCCCCTCGAGGCTGAAAACTCGTGTTGTCTGGGCTTTCGGAGTATCACCTGGCCCCGAGCCCTTCGGGGCCACAGGAGAATGACATCTGCGCTGCTAGCCAGCACCTCGGGGCGACGTCCCTTTCTCTCATTGCGCTGTCCACCTCGTCGTCTTCTCCCCCAGGCTAAGGCGACCTCAACTCCTGCAGGTGGGGGGTCATTGCCAAGACGGCGAATGTGCCTTGTCGACGCTGGAGTGCAGCCCGGGACACCACGGCTGCTTCGCCCCGCATGAGGCTTTCTAGAGCATCTGGCATGCGAGTGCAGTGGAGGCCCGACCACAAGAAACCTTCCACAAGAAACCCAACCCTGAACCCCCAGGACGTCCATCGATTTGTGGTGTGGGAACGTCGCGCTTCCCATTGCAAAACAATCGAAACCCAAGAACCCAGGGCACCCTGGAGACAAGCAGGGTGTTTCTTGGCATGTGTCTCCACTGTACTTGCCCAGAGTGGAGGAGGACTCCGGAGATCTCCGATCCATGGCTTTCCAAGTAGGGCCAGTGGCCTCGGGCCCAGGGATCGTAGGGATCGTGACCTTCGAGACGCGGATCAGTAATACTTGCAACACGGAAGTGGTGTGGGCGGCGCATGCAGCTGGACGGAGCAAGGATGAAGTAGAACCAAGACAACCTCGACCGTCGAGCATCGAAGCTCATCGCGGTGTGAGGGGACGCGGCGGTCGCCAGAGGTCCCAAGAAGCTGGCTGAAGCTTGCAGGGACGCGCCGTCGAAAAAACAATGGCACTTGATCCACCACCCTCGATAGGCAACCACATGTGAACCCTACTCGTGCCGATCAGATCTGGAGAGGAAGAGGGGCTCAGAGTGTGAAGAATGCCTGCAGCTGGGCCAAGTGCACCCCACTGGGGATGTCCGATACCCCAGCGGCGACAGCGCCACTAGCGGTAGGGTTCGCTGATTGTCACACACGCCTCGAACTACAGTGGAGAATGGCTCCAGCAGGAACGGGCCACCGCCGCGGCCACCGCCGTCGCACTCGTCGTCGCAATTGTGCGGCCGCCTTCGGGAACCCTTGGACAAAAAACTGCTGACGTCTCACTCTATACTGAAGGGGCCCTGGGACACACAAATAAATTCACACTATAAAAAAAAATATCCCCCATATTTTCCCATATTTTCTAGGTTTCTGTCTTGCCACCCACTTCCCATAGTTTCCCCTATTTTCCAGGGAATCGACGATGAATTGTGTCTGTGTGTTTCTTTCCCTCCTGATATACTTCAGCCAAGCTTGCCGCCCAAAACTGAAGCGCCGCTGCTCCCCCGCAGGCTCTGCCGCCGGCCTCCGCCGAGCGAGAAAGCTATTTTGCTTCTCTCTTGGCGCTCCTCTCCCGTGGCCACCCACGCCGCCGCAGACGACGGCGAGTCTCACGCGCGCGCCCCTGTGCACAACCCCACTGGGGCCTGCACCTTAGTGGGCCCTGGAAACGACAGGGCCGATTTTTATACCGGTTCCGTTTTGCCGTTTGTTTTGCCGGTTCCGACGCCGTTTTTGCTACCGGTTCCGTCGCCGTTGTTTGACCGGTTCCGGCTCCGGTTCCAATCCTGGAGCTGTTTTTCCCCCGTTTCCGGTCGCCGTTTTTGTTGCCGTTTCCATTTTCAAGGGACATGTTTTTGGAAACGGTGAAAGAACGGCCCTGCCGTTTCCGGGGCCCACAAGGGCCTGCACCCCATGCAAGCTGCCGTCACCGCTCTGGTGCCGAAGGCAGGCACGAGCTGCGCAGCAGCGGCCGACCGTGGAGAGCAAACCAGCCGCGTGGGGGAGGACGGAAGCGTTTCTAAAGCAAGCAGTCGCCGAGGGCGAGAGGGAAGCAACAAGGACGCGGGCAATATTTCTATCCATATCCACTGCGTCTTGGACTTTCTTGGAAGGGGCGCCGCAAGGCCGAGGCGCACTGGATATGGATAAACATCGAGCCTTTTGGAGGCAGATTATAATCCATATCCAGTGCGCCTAATGTTTCTTGGGAAGGGCGTCCGAAACTCCAAGACGCACTGGATGTGGATATAGACATTGCCCGCAAAAATGACACCGATACCGCTGCCCGACAACGGGGACACCCGAAGCAGATGTCGAGCAAAGGCGCTTGGACTCAAAAGATGAGGTCGTCCGGAAAATCTGAGAAGCCATGCCGCGCCCAAAAGTGGCCCGACGAGCCTCGCAATGTGACACCTATATTTTTTAGGCGAATCCCGCCGTGACGACGGCGGAATGGTGGCGGTATCGGTACATCTGCTCCTCGGAAGCTACAGTCGGGGCGTTGACCTAAGGAACCCCAAATAAGGAACGCGGCCCCTTTTTTCCAAAAGTTGACCTTCGATTTCCTGTCGAAAACATGAGGAAAACCTGAGGCAAGCTGCGAAACAATTAAGGAACACGGAGCCCCTGCCCAACGAAAAGGGTTCCTTCTTCAGCGCCCCGACTGTATATCTTCTCCTCGGAGGCTAGGTCATGCCCAGCAGGGCCCCAGCGCGGCGGGCAAGGGCCTCGCAGTCCACGTCGCTCCCGCAGAGTCGCGTCTGCCTGCGATGGGACAAATAACAAACGCAAAACAACTTCTTCTT